CAGCCTCCTGTGCTTGATGTCGCTTAACTGGCCAGGGAAAACAAAGCCATGGTCACATTTTCCTGAATTCACCGCATAACAATTAAGTCTTAAACACACGGTTATGTTTATCTTGGTAAGGATGTTGGAAGAGCCACTTTTCACACGGGCAAACAGTGATAGGGATACCTGTTTCAAAGTAAGGGAGGGGATACTCCAGTTAGATATCAGAAAGGAATTCTCCCCTGGGAGGGTGGGGAGGCCCTGGCACCGGTGCCCAGAGCAGCTGGGGCTGCCCCTGGATCCCTGGAGGTGTCCAAGGCCAGGCTGGACGGGGCTTGGAGCAGCCTGGGACATTGGAAGGTGTCGGAACAAGATGAGCTTTAAGGTCCCACCCAACCCAATGCATTCCACAGTTCTATGTCTCTTTAAACATATATTTACTGCAAAAAATTCTGTTAAGCTTCTCACCAGCTAAAGATTAGAGCCACTGTTCTATCCATCTGCCTGTGATTTTCTGGATTTCAGGGATTTATTTCCAAGTGTGTAGTAGTGGCCCCAAAACATTTATTAGTATGACCAGAAAAACCATCACTGTTCTTCATCACCTCGAAGAAAAAGTCAAGCACACTATCATGGAGCTAGGCTTTATTGGGTCCAGAGTTGTGCAGAGGAACAAAAAGACTCCAGAGCTCAGATCTGTATTTTACATGTTTAAAAACTGGAAGTTTCCACCTCCGTGGCGCTCCTGTTTGCCCTTGCAGGACATCCTCACTGGCTCTGTCAATGCTTCCTGTGGCTGGAAGCCAATCTTCCATCCAGGGTAATGGCTCTGGTAGGAGCTAGGAAATAACGGAGCTGATTGAGCTCTGCAGGCTCTCAGGGGATGCAATGGCCTGGACTGACCCTGCATACAGCCAGGGGATGGAGCATGGGTGGGCAAGAGCCGTGTCTCTCAAGGAGCGTGCCTGTCCACCACAGCTCCACACGGTCCTTTAAAGCAGCTGCCGCTGCACTAAGGGAAATTTGCGGGTTGGGTTCTCCCTGAGAAGGGATTTATCAACAGTGTTTCAAGTGTCAGGATCCTGCTGGGGCTCCTCCTGCCCCAAGCTACCTCACCCTGCCCAAACCCTTTTCTCACTTTAAATGCAGGGTCAGGAAAAGTCGTCCTGAGCTGGGCAGTCATAGCTCTGTTTCCATCCCCTAGAGCTGGGTTATGGTCAAATTGCAGAGCAGCTAAGTAAGATTAAAGTGCATGTAGGCAGATATTAATTAAGAAGAAAAAAATGAAAGCTACTCATTTCCTCTTCAGAACTGTATGTATGCTAATTAAAGTAAACATTCATAAAGCCCCCTCCCATTGTGGAGGTATTTGCTGACTCCTGTTCCCATTTGGATGGATTCATGGACACAGGCAGCCAGTGAAGCCATCAGACCACCAATGGCCCCAGACTGTTTGCATTCCCTGCTGTTTATAGCTTTAGTGAATAAAAGAAAACAGCAGACTGGGCCCGTGGCCAAGTGCAGCCTTCAGTTTCTCTGTGGGTGAAAGGCAGAGTGGGTGGGCATCTCTGAGGCAGTGTCAGCACAGCATATGCTGGGGGACAGCAGTGTGGAGAGCCCGAGCTGTCAGTGTGAGGAACTGAGAGAGCATCTGGGATCCCCCCCTGTGAGCCTGCCTGCAGAACACACGAGCGTCCCCACCTTGCAAACCTGGTGATTGAAGCACACTTGAAACAGGGAATTCGACTCCTGGCTGTCTCATCCTCACAGTGCTCATTGCTGTCTCCCCTTACAGCTTATTGTCTGAGGCCTGTGGGCTCCCCTGTCCAACTGATCTCTTGTTTTAAAGGTGTCTTGGGTTACAGGAATTTTCTCAAATCAGTTCTGCTCCCCAGTTCCTTCTTGGCCTTGTGTGGCATTTATGTTTATGTAATACCCAGAGAGCCTTTGACTCGCATAGCAGTGCTGGTATGCTGTGCTCAGGGTTCTAAATCCTGCCTGGATTGCTAAAAGGGAGAGTGCTGCGCATTCCCCTGATAATATTGAGTGCAGAAGCACTGTTTCTAATGGTTATGAAGAGTTAAGAACACTCCAATTTCTTATGTAAATTGAAATAGTTCAGTTTTCCCTCCTCAAATAAGCACTGCTTACCTAGGTCTGGGAGTGTTTCATCTTCCTTCCTCTCTTTGTGTTAAAAGGGCTCTACTCCAATCATAGATCACCAGCTCCAGGCTGCCTCTTCCTAAGGTTTCCCCCAAAACACCTCTTCCCAAAACAGCTCTGACTTGTGGAAATGGCTGTTCCACCTCACATGGTGCTGAACAGCAGGTAAGGACACACCCTTGCTCCAAGGGTCAGAAGTGCCCCTGGATCTCTGCAGCGAGCCCTAACAACTGCAGTTCATTTTTGGGACCATTGCAATATTAATACAAGAATGAGAGAATTCTTTACCCTCTTGCAAGCACACAGAACTCGGTGCTTTAGAAGCAAGGGCTGGTTTTCAGCCTCCACCCTACCTTCGGGTACTGCTGCTATGGCGACAACACTGACTGGGCTACAGCATCCAACACACTCCCACAGCACTTGTGCAACCCTTAAATAACCCATTTTCAGGGGCTGCTGCTTGCAAACTGCCAGTGCTCAGGTATGAAAATGAGCACTTCCCTTATTAACCTCCTAAAAACACCAGCTTCATCCCCAGACGCCCAAATTCTGACCCTCACTCAGTGAATGACTTCACTAGTGTCAGAATTTGGAGCTCAGTGAATGAGGTGAGGCTGTTCCTCTAGAGCTAAAGGCAGGTACCTGCTAAATGAAAGGACACACTGAAAATCTCTCCTGCTAGCACAAGGCTCCTTTGCTCTCTTAGGTGCAAATTTAAAAGGTCAAGTCCTTCAGGCAAAAACAAATGCTGCCATTTTCTAGAGGTTCAGCTCTGTTCTCATTGGGCTGAGAATAAATACTTCCTAATTGGCTGCTGCTTGAGCCCAAGTTATTTATTTAATGCACATTGCCTTTAATTTTTATTAGGTCTTTTGTAGATGGAAAAGCAGCTGGATGGAATGAGAATAGAAAGCATGCGTGTAACTGAGTACAGTCTGGGGGGTTGAGAGCTTTATAACAAGGGTGGTTAAAATAATTGACAGGACAAATGAAGTACCTGTAAACAGAAGAGCAACGTGCTCTGTCACTGCACTGAGAGGGACTTTGGGCTTGTCCCTTGCTGTCTTTGGATGCAAGGACAGCAAAGCTGTGCCAGCCAGTGCTTCAGTTGGAGATATTGAAGGATAACCATGGTCTTTCCATCCTTTCAGAGATGAATACCAAGCTGAAAGTTGAGCAGACCCTACACAAAAGACTCCTGGAGAGACAAAGCTTTGTCACCTGAACCTTGTCCAGGAAGTTACAGCAACAGCCCTTCGCCTTCCTGAAGGGAGCAGCTCCTGTAGCAAGGTATAACACAATTCCCTAAATCCCCTGTCATTCTATCCACCTTCCAGAGAAGCTTGGCCAGCTTAAAAAAAGCTTTTGTGCCTTTATTTTTTTTTTTTTTTTTTTTTCTCCTAATAATTGTGACTGAATCAGATGGCTCTGGAGCCAGCACCCATAACCAGCCAAGATTACAGGGAACTTGGCTGTGTGATGTGTCAGGATCTGGCTGCTCAATTAACTACGCTTACATGACTAATTCCAGGTGGCCACACAAACACTTTGTATCTTCAAGTATTCCCCCCTACCTGGTGCCTCTCCCAGGGGGAAAGAAAAGGTTAAATTATGAAAGTAATGAAAGGCAGGATTGGTGCAATATTTAACTAATTTGTAAAGAAAATTAATAACTCGTGGTATTAAATAATTACTGTTGCATATACCCGTGACTGCAGTGACAGAGCCTTCCAGTCCTGGGGGCTGAAGAGACTGGGAAGCAAAAAGAAAGATGAAAATACACAGGCTAAAAAAATCACTGGCAACATACGGAGAAACACAGCAGTTCTGCTGGTGGATTAAAATGCCCAGAGCAGGGACTGCTGACATGAGAAGAAGGGCTGAGAATGGAAACTTTCATAAACGTCAGAAAGAGAAGAGTTTCTCTGTAGCGACAGTTTATAATATGTGCTGGTCCACACTGAATCCTGGTCAGGATCAAGTGCCAGATTTTGCAAGGAAAGAGGCTTTGCAGTGCGAAAGGAGAAGGCTTGGAGCTTGAGGCTTGAACCTGTTTTTTCTGTCCCCCTGGGCCGTGTCCCCTTGCATCAGCAGTAGGTGCTGGGCCCTGTGGAGCTGTTTTGGGAGGCTGAGCTGCAGCGGGAGCTGTAATAAATAACCCACACAGACACTGGGGCACAGCCTGCCCGCATCCAGGCTGCTAAATTTAGGTGCCTTCCAGCAAATGAGCATGTGCAAAGAGGCACAGGGATTAGACAGAGCTGTCGTATGAGCTGGAAAAAACCTGAGAGGGTTGGTTTAGTCATGATAATAACAGCACTTTTGGCATCAGAGGAGACCAAAGTTCCTGAGGATAAACACTCGAAGACAGGATACATCTATTGCAAGGCTGATTTCCCTCTATCATGTCCATGGCTGACCCAGGCAGGGTCACATCAGGGTAAAACTAAAGTCCCTTTGCCTGAAGGGTTTTGGCTTGAGGGCACTGCCATTTATTTGGGCAAAAGGAATAATCGTTATGCAAAGAACCATCCTTACTGAAACCATACCTGTTTGCAAAGCAGAGTTCTTAGACAAGGGATGAGGATGCTGAATACCCAGAGAGCTGTGGGAGCGCCGAAGGCACGACACAGATAAGAAATCCCCGCGAACACCGGGAGAGGACCAGGACTTCTTCCTGGGGGATGTTGCTGCCTGTGCGCTCCACGCCGTCGTCCCCCTCGGTCCCCCCCAGGTGTGCCCTGCTGCAGGCTGGACTGAGAGACCAGAGCCTGCAGCCACAGCCCCTCTGATCCCAGAGACTTGCACAGGGAATGCCGGGGAGCGTGGAAGCCCTCCCAGCCTGTAGCCAGCCCTCCGTGTAATCCCAAAAGTGCAGTTGGGGTTACATCTCAAACGTACAATGTGAGTCAGGCTCCCCGGGAACTTCTCCCTGCTCTGGATCACAACCAGAGCCGTTCAGGGATGGGCAGGGCAGGGCTGGAGCTCCCTCACGTCACTGCCGCGTGTCTCCAGGGCGGGGACTTTGCCACCAGGACAGCCAGCAAAGCTCTCCCGATCTGTGCCAGGGACCCGCGCGGGACAGCAGGTGAGTGCCAAGCGAGCGGGGGATCCCCCTTGGCATGGGGACCGGGCTGCATGGCTGGAGGTCCCTGGGACGGTGCCAGGCGCCATCCCCGCGTTCCAGCCGGGCTGGGCGATGCCCACGGCGCTGGGGCAGCCCCGGGAGCTCCCCGGGGCTGGGGAAGGGCGGAGGGCAGTTGTGGGGTGGAGGAAAGGCTGACCTTTCCCGGGCACAGGGAGTGCGGGGTTTGGTTCCTATTTGTGCCGTGCCCAGGCTGGCGCATCCTCCCCGCTGGAGTGCCGAGGGCATGGCAGAGGGGTGACACGGCTCGGGGTGGGCGCACAGGCTGAGTGATATAAGGCTATAAGAATCATATTTTTATCCCTTCTGAGGCCAGATAAAGGTCATTGTGTGGGAGGCGCTGGGATGTTTCAGCTGGCTTGGGGCTCGTGGAGATCCTTTCCCGGGTCAGTGACCCTGCGGCCCCAGCCCGGGCACCCCGGGAGCGCAGGCAGCGCTGGACCCGCACACCTGGAACAGCTGGCGGTGGCAGCTCTGGAAAAGCTGATCCCGCGCTGGGTGTGGGCTGTGTTTGTGTAAACGGGAACCGAATGAAGGAACTCGTCGGACAAGTCCAGTGTTTGCTTCGCAAGGAAAAGGGTCACAAAGTGGGTTTCCATACAGATCCGAGGTGTAGGACTGGCAACGCCGCGAGCTGGGTCGGGGTGTGCAGAGGGAGAGCCCTGTGTTTCTATCCTCTTGAGCTGTTGGAAGCTTTCCTTGGTGGTTCCTGTGTGTGTGCTCTGAGCAGTCGGGAAAACCTGATTGTGTGCAAGCCTAAACTTGAACTGGCCAGCACATGTGACATTGTCAGCACTTTTCCGATAAATTAAGTTTATTCTGGATTCAGCCTTTAGAGGATGTTGATATGGACTTGAAACAGGCTGATTAGCTGATAAAGCCTGCCAGGAAAAGATCATCCATGGAAAAAAAAAATGGAGTAATGGGAGGAACGCCTCCTACACTTGCATTCTGTGATCTGGGCACAATGTTCTAAGCCAGGTTTACTGTACCAGGCCTTTATTCTGGGGTGAAGCAAATAACATCAGGACCATAGCACTGGCTGGCTGAGTCTTGCACACATCGTTTAATTCTTAAAAACACAGAGCGAGGTATTCTTCCTGTCCTGAAGCTGTTTTCCCCTGATTGATTGAGCTGCAGGCCAGGAATTGTGTTAAGCTTCTGAGCACTGGCAAATCTGCTGAGCAATTCCCTTCTGGCTTAGGAGAGTTTCATTCATCTAAAGCCCCAGCATGAGCAGTTCCTGCAGACCCCTTCAGCTGTGAAACGGTTACAGGGGCCACTGCTGGACAGCCTGGCAGATGAGAGATTAGAGAAGAGCAAAGATGACTTTTCTGGGGTCTGGGTCATACTGTGAGCACTGGAATTCATGATCAGAAGAAAGAAAGCAAACTCAACAGTAATAATTACCATAATGTTGCAATTATTGATTGCACAGGGAGTGCCTGTGTGTAACACATCCATGGCAAGTGGCACACAGTTAACTGACCTGAACAGCTCACCCTGGGCATTCCAGGTCTGTAGGAGTCATGTGGAACAGGAACAAACACACTTCTGTTCTTGCACAACTGTCTGGGCTCATGGATAGCAGCTATTAAGCACCACGAGGAGAATTAGGAAGAGATGTCATTCACTGCTGGCACCTCTGCTTCTGCTTCAGGGTTTTAATGAGAGAACTCTCTCAACCCTGGAATAAAACCACACATTTGGTGGGTGGACTTGACTTGCTGTCACTGTGTTTACATCTTTTTTTTTAATTTATTTTTCATTTAATTCAGCCCTACCGTATGTAGGTATCTCTTTGAGTTTGCCTGACCTAACTGCTCTCCTGTGATGCTGGGATGAACATGGGTTGTGGGGAAGTGAACCTTGTCCTGGTACGTGACATCCTGTGAAGTGATCAGGGACACAGGAAAATTTGTGTGTGTTCATGCAAAGGCTCTCTGCAAACAAAATTATGAACAGAACTAATAACCCTGGGCAGATGGCAAGTAAGCTTTGGGGTTTTTCAAGGGTTTGTCAGTAAAAACTACAGCCCTGCAAGGAAGGACACAGTGCACCAAACTGAGGGGATGTTGAATATAAAATGTTCTGTTAAAATATTAAGAGGGAAAGTAATTCCCCTGCCCAGTGCTCAAGTGAGGTTATCCTTTGTGTGCTCACCTACACCACCATGTCTCTGCCTCCCAGGCAGGATCCATTAAGGGTTAGGGCTGTGTGGGCATCCTCACCCTGCTTCATCCTCACCCTGCTTCATCCTCACCCTGCTTTGTCCTCACCCTGCTTCATCCTCACCCTGCTTTGTCCTCACCCTGCTTCGTCCTCACCCTTCTTCATCCTCACCCTGCTTCATCCTCACCCTGCTTCATCCTCACCCTGCTTAGTCCTCACCCTGCTTCATCCTCACCCTGCTTCATCCTCACCCTGCTTAGTCCTCACCCTGCTTAGTCCTCACCCTGCTTCATCCTCACCCTGCTTCATCCTCACCCTGCTCACCCGCAGCTTCTCACGTGCCAAGGTCAAAGCCATGTGTTTCGACAGGGAATCAAGACTATTTTCTTTGCTCCCAGGGCAACACTGCTTCTCCTTGTAGCCTCAGCCAGGCTGTCACACAGGCAATAGAGAAGAATCATTAAATTACCAGTGCTGATCACCTGTCTGACCCCCACATCCCTTCCAGCCTGGCCCTGGCCCTGCTGTCATTATCCAGACTTTGCTCTGCACAAAGCAGGGCTGAACACTCTGGGAAGCTGCCTGGTTCATTTGGGCTGTTCAGTCTTGCTTTTAGTCCTCAAACAATTTGATGGTTACTTAAACAGGCTCATTAGCCTTCAAGGGAAGGTGTATTCTATTAATTATTTGCTAGAAAACTAACACTCCCTGTGTTTTATTATTACAGCTGTCTAAGTACCCTGGACACAGACAATAAGAGATTGAGCAGATCCTAGCACGATGGTGAGTGTGTTTGCTGTGCCAGGCTGTGCCAAGCCTTTGCTCTGACCTGACGAACGTGGGGAGTGGAGCTCAGATAAGGATCCAGCAGCAGGAACGCTGTCACTGTCTGTCCCTTCAAGGGGGGTGAATTTATTGCATCTTCCTCCTTCCTCATTTTAGAGGAGAATGACCCACACATACATGCTTTTGCATTTGGGGAGTTAATGGAAAACCAGATCAGATATTCATTCAAAAAACATTAATTTCTCCAGATAAACTTCCTAGGCATATTATTCTTTCCAGGCTGAGCCTGCAAGGCAGCCATTTCTATGGTTGTTATTACAGAATCCTGGAATAGTTTGGGTTGAAAGGAACCTTAAACATCATCCAGTTACACCTCCAGCCATGGGCAGGGACACTTTGCACTAGACCAGGATGCTCCAAGCCACGTCCAGCCAGGCCTGGAACACTTCCAGGGGCAGGGGAACATTTTTCTGCCCATTGAATGTTAAGTGGTATTTTGCTGATGATTTTCTTGGGAACAAGAAGAGCTTTGCAAGAAAAGTATATTTCCCCAGAAATATTGCCCAGACCAGAGGCAGGAGAAACTTGTTTGTGAATCACCATTTCAGGTAAAACACTGTACTTCCTGGTGTGTTATTTAACACAATGATTGTCCTTGACTGCTCTTAGAGCAGGAATGGGGCTTTGATGGGAACAGCTCCTTCTATGAGTTACATGGAAAACTGCTGGGAAGAAGCTGGACTGAACAGTGATGTCAGGCTGTGTGCCCTTAGTTAACTGGAAAGCAGATACTGCATGGGCAGCCACATTAAGATATTTTCTCCTTTCACCTGAGTCCCTGTGGCTTATTTCTTATGTTCCAGGGAAGTCCCTCTGGAACTAACCATTCCATTTTAGGATGGGATGAAACCTGGTATAAAATCACTCATGTTTGGAGGGTGGACTTTATTTGCTGTCACTTTCCAAAAATGATGTTTGGATCTTTTGAATTGTCTTTTTTTTTAAATCAACTCTATTCTGTGAATGTCTCACTTTGTGACTACTTTTCTTATTTCCTCTCCTATGGATTTAGGCAACAGTCAAGGGCGTCTCAACTTTCAGTGCTGAGCAAGAAGCACAGGCACTAAGGAAGGCCATGAAGGGATTTGGTAAGTTATCTCCCTCCACTGTTAAAACTTCTTTTGTAGCTCTGGCAGTTGGGAAGGTTTTTACTGGTGTTTTTTTGGAGGGGAAGTTCAGCCATTTGCATCACCTCACTGCCCTGTGAGGGCACTGGAGGGAACTGGGTGACTGGAAATCCAAGCCTTGGCCATAAAAACATCTTTAGTCAGGTTCTTGTTTTCTCTGTTGTGTGGTGTGGTGCTGCTGGGCTGAGGCACTCGTGCACAGATGAGACCCAGGTTGTGCAAGGATGTGTGTAAGGTTGTGTGGCCAATGGCACACCCTGGGCAAGGCCACAGTCTGGTTCTGGTACAAGCAGCTTGACTGGTTTTCATTGGTTCCTTCCAGGCACGGATGAAGATGCCATCATTGAGACCTTGACCAAACTGAACGTGTCCCAACGTCAGCAAGTTCTGATCACCTATAAAAGCACTATTGGCAGGGTAGGTGCTCTGAAGAGATCAGTGCCTGTGGCTCGAATTGGGAGATGTGGACTTTTTTGGGCTGTACCACTTGGGTGAAATGTAAAGAACATCCCAGCCTCCACAAGAGTATGATCAGCACTGAGCACAAGCTTTCCTTGGCCAAGTTTTTCTGGTCTTGTTCACTTCAGAGTAGCTGTTCATCCAAGGAGGGCTGGAGCATGAAAAAAAGCGGTGAACGAGTTCTTCCACTTCTCAAAGGGCATGTCTTTTTCTCCTTTCTTCTCTTTCTCTCTTCTAGGATTTGATTGATGACTTGAAGTCTGAGCTGAGTGGGAATTTTGAAAGGGTGATCGTTGGTTTGATGACTCCTACCACCATGTATGACGTGCATGAACTGAGGAGGGCTCTAAAGGTTTGGAAATCCTTTTTTATGTTGCATGACTTATGGTCAATTCAGTATGCAATGGCATAATTGTATATTAGCTATAAATTTCTTATTAAGCTATATCTAATAAACAGAAGTTGCAGCTACCCTTCAAACAGTTGTCACAACCTTGGCTCTTGTCTCTGTGATTCCCTAGGGAGCAGGGACAGACGAAGGCTGCCTGATTGAAATCCTGGCTTCTCGCACCAACGCGGAGATTCGGCACATCAATGAGAACTACAAACTCCGTATGTAGCACACTCTGCAGCTTCATGCTGGCTCAGAAGCCACTGCTGTGTGTGCAGGGGTGTGTGGAGAAGCAGGAAAAGGGTCTGTCAGCATAAAGGGCTAGAATGACACCCAGAAATTGAATCGGTGTAAATATAATGGGGTGGGGTGGTTATGTCTGTCAGCTGGAGGTCTATCCAAAGTGGATCGTTTGCCAGTTTTATACTGGCTGTGCTTCTTAGTTTTGCCCTGTACCACTCACTATGATGGCAAGGGCATCCTGGCTTGTCACAGTGGACATGCCTGTCCCCCTGTGCTGCACTGCTGAGGCCACTCGAATCCTGAGGACAGTTTAGGATGGATGTTAGAAAAAGGTTCTTCACTCAGAAGGTGGCCAGGCACTGGAACAGGCTCCCTAGAAAAGTGGTCACAGCACCAATCCTGACAGAGCTCAAGATGTCTTTGGATGACATTCTTGGGCACATGGTGGGACTCCTGGGGATGGTTCTGTGCAAGCCCAGGACTTGGACTTGGTGATGCTTGGGGGTCCCTTCCCACTCAGCAAATCCTGTGCTTCTGTGAGCTGTTAGTAACAGATCTGCTCCGTGTGCCCTGGCAGAGTACGGCTCCACCCTCGAGGACGACATTGTCTCTGACACATCCTCCATGTTCCGCAGAGTCCTCGTGTCCCTCGCCATGGTGAGTCCAGAACAGGGGAAATACGGGGCTGAAGGTGCTGCTGGACATGTCTCACTCAGTGAGGAGGTGCTTCAGGCTGTCTGCTATTTCACTTCTCTTGCATTTCACCTTGCCAGCATTTCACACCAGCTTCTGCAGGGAGAGCAGCCTCACTCTGCCATGCCTTAATGCCATATTCTCTTTTTAAATTAAAGTGGGTGGCTGTTTGCTTCAGAAGAAAGAACAAATTACACCCGAATGATGTTTTGCTGTGTTTGTAACCCATTACTCAATGTTAAGAATCCCATTATACATCTCCAGCAACTGAATGGGGAATTTGCAGGACTTATTCCCATTAGTTGCTCTGTTGAAAGAGTTTTTCATCCTTGTGTTTCTGCAGGGTAACAGAGATGAGGGAACATTTGTGGATGAGGCCCTTGCTCAACAAGATGCTCAGGTGTGTAGCAATTTGCTTCCTTGCAAGAACTGTTTGGGTTTGTATGTGTGATGTGTGCTCTCTGCTGTTTCTAGACCTCTTTTTCTCAAGGTAGATGAGTAAGCCTGAGGTTGTGCTAGACAGCAGTGCCCCAGGTGGACGCTAGATTGGCTATTAGGAAATGTTTTTCCCCCAAAAAGAGTTGTCCAGCTCTGGCACAGGCTGTCCAGGGCAGGGGTGGAGTCCCCATCCCTGAGGGGATTCATCAGCCACGTGAACATGGCACTTGGGGGCACGAGTTTGTGACTGTCTTGGCAGTACAGGGGAAAGCTTGAACTCAACAGTCTCAGAGGGCTTTTCCAACCCAAATGGTTCTATGAAGTAAAAATCTCATTATATACACTGGTGTTCTCAATTATCCTCACTTTGTTCATGTCTTCAAGAACCTGTATGAAGCTGGGGAGAAGAAATGGGGAACAGATGAGGTGCAGTTCATGTCCATCCTCTGCACACGGAATAGGTGCCACCTGCTCAGAGGTAGGACCTCTCTGGTGTCCTGGGCTTCTTCTCTTGAGTGAGGACACTACTTTTGTAGGAGCTTTGTACTGTTCGTTAACTGATTGTGATCCCTTCCTGAGACAACAGATATTCTCAGAACAGTTGATTCAATTCTTTTAGACCATTTTATTCCCTCCTGAGACAAAATGGGAGTTGAGAAAAACACCCATACAACTTCCTCTAGCCTGTGAATTGGAGATAATGAAGTGTGACTCTCATGGGGCAGAGCTAAGCATGGAAACTGTCTGCATTAAACAGCAGTTCTGGAAAATCCTAGCAGCAGTGTTTGGCTAATTAGCAAGACAGCTGATAATTAAAATGAATTATTTCTGAGGGGCAGCCCTGGTTTAGCTTACAATGTCATGGTAATGGTGCAGTGTTTGTACAGGGTATGAGGAGCTTGATCTTGCAAAGTGATCCTCGGGGGTTACACACTGACGCAGCTCACTTGGCTCTTTTATCCGACTCTTCCTCCTAGTTTTTGATGTGTACAGAGTGATTGCTAATAAGGACATCACAGAGAGCATTAAATCTGAGATGTCAGGAGACCTTGAGGATGCTTTGTTAGCTGTGGGTGAGTTCCCTGCTTTTAAACTTTGTCTACAAACTAATTAAATAACTAAAGATACTGTCTCATGCCCTGACTGTTTGCACAGCTTCAGGAGGCAGATTCTTCTTCACTGTTTCACGAGCCACAATGTTTTAATCTTTGCAGATGAAAAGGCCTGGCAAGAAGGCTCTGTGCTTTATATTTCTCTGCCAAGGGATGCTTTGGCAGATGACATTTGCTGTGTAGAAGCTTTAAAACCTTAAAAATATTTTACTGCTGTGATGGAGACATCAGTTGACAGCAGGTCACTGACTCTGGATGTCTGCACTATGCTTGTTGAGTTGCATTTTTACAGAATAAATGTCTACACTGAGAAAGTGCCAGAAGGATTTGGAAGACCTTATCCTTCAGTGTTTATTGGTTTTAATTCTCTTGTTCTTGTCTCCCTTACAGTAAAGTGCTTGAGGAACAAACCTGCATATTTTGCTGAAAGATTGTACAAATCCATGAAGGTAAAGAGATTTTGCTATTTTCCCCCCTGCTTCTCCATGCTTAAGTCAATAGCATGGCAGCAATTAGAGAAACTGTGTTAATTGGGGGGAAAAAAAGAAGTCTGAGGTTTGCTGTGGACCTCTTTCCCTTCAGGAAGCTCAGAGCTGGTAATGGGTCCCTGCATTAATGCAAAAATGATCAGGAATGGATTCCACAGAAGGCCAAAGCTCTGTGCCTGTCACTGCTCTGTCCCCAGTGCAGTGCAGCTGTTGTTGTGTCCCTTCAGGGCCTGGGCACCGATGACAGCACGCTGATCCGGGTGATGGTGTCCCGCTCCGAGATAGACATGCTCTACATCAGGAGAGAGTTCCTGGCCATGTATGGCAAATCACTCCACTCCTTCATCAAGGTAAGCTTGTGATCCTACACAGACCTGGATTTGCTAAGCAGCTTCAAGGAGACCCTCTCAACAACTCCTTGGGTATTTCAGAGGAGGTGGAATTAAGGAGACTTTACATTTATGTACCAAAAACCTTCCTGAATGTTCTTGGTTATTAAATTGTCAAAGAGGATACAAATACTACAATATGTCATTTATGCTGAAAGGAATCCTGCTTTCCATGGAGCTGCAAAATTAATGATGTTCCTTTTTTCTGCTCTTTCTAGGGAGACTGCTCAGGGGACTACAGGAAGGTTCTGCTCAGGCTGTGTGGTGGGGAGGATTAAAGGAGGCCTGAGGAACCTGCTGGGTGATGGGAAGCAGCTGATTGTAGAATTGTTTAGGTTGGAAAAGATCATGAAGATCATCAAGCCCAATCACGATAAAGATTTCTTCTTTTTTTTTTTTCCCAAATGCCTTATTAATTACTCTGATTGTTGCCTTAGGTTAGTTCATGCTCTGGTTAGATAGAGGCCATTCTGGTTGACTCTTTTGATACACTTTTGTGCTTGGAACACCCATTTGCCTACTAACTGAAGTCCATTTTACACAGAATGCTGTAACCAAAGGAGTAAAAGTTGTTTCCTGACCAGCTGCCCCTTTTGCTGTTGTGTTCACCAGCAAAATGCATCAAGTGAAGGAAACCTGGATGCACAGTGTGAGAGGCTGCCCAGGGAAAAGCCAACCCCATTGGTACATGAAGAATGCAGAACACAGGTTTGCTTCAGTTTTTCAGTAAAATTAAAACACAGAGAAACCAAATATCTAAATTACGAGCTTGTTTACATATTAACTTGCCTCTGTTAGTGTGGAGCATTAACAGCCTGGCTGTACTGTATATATATATATGTTGTCTGTAGGTCTGTAAGTGGGGAAGTTGTCATTGGTGACATGAGAAAAACCTTTTCCTGCCCTTGTTTTTGGTCTATCTATGGATCATGGGAGTATAAATAATTAGGGTTATTTTATAAACCCTGCTCTGGATAAAGTGATGTCATTGGAATGGTGCCTTTTAAGGAATGTCCTGTCCCCAGAACCCTACCTCACCAGCCTGGTGCTGGGGCAGCTCCCCAGATTTTCCTGGGACACGTTCCCAGATGTAGCTGAGGTAATTCTCCAGAGCTGCCCACATCTTACACCGACTAACAGCTGCCCCTGAGGGATCCCCTGTGTGCCTGCTCCTCCTGTGAGGGATGTCCACATCAACCCCTGCGAGACACTTCTCCCCCAGGCCCTACACTCCTGCCTGCTCACGGTTTTCACTCCAAAAACGGGATTCTGCTTTGGCTTAGCAAGTTATTCTTTACCATTGGTGTACAATCCTGTTCTGAAGGATCAGACTTGAGATCATTGTCAAAGCTCCAGCACTGAGGTGGCTGCACCCCAATTCCATCACTGCTTTTCCAGCTGCTGCTGGCCACAATTGGAGATGCCTCTGTGGCCTCCAATAAAATAATTTTCTTTCTTGTTGTCTGGGCTGCCATTGGGGACACATTCCTGGCTTTTGCTGGCAGAGGAGGCAGAACTTTATCCAGTTCTGGGGGCTCTGCCCAGGGCAGGGCAATGCCCAGCAGAGCACAGCAGCTCTGGAGGTGCTCGGGCTGGGGGTGGGTTTCACTGCCTTGGGTCAGGTTGCTGAATGGTGAAAAATGAATAAAGAATTTGTTTCTGTATTTCCTGCCCCGATGGTGTGTTCTAGGAGGGGACACAGGGGAAGACCTTGTTTTGTCCCAAACACCTGTTTTCCACAGGAGCCACTTCTCCACAGGGCCCCGGCAGGATGGGGAGTGGCCTCAGGGATGCTTCTTATGCTAATTAGTCCACGTTTTTAGTCTTTTTGGTATCCTTTTCCTCCAGTAAGGACTTTCCAACGCATAAACTCAGTCTTTGTCTCTTCTTTATCTTCTGATTTCGGAAAACTGTCCTTGTCATCCATAAATTCTACAGTCCAGATGTCCAACTTCAATAACACGTTTCTCTCCCAGGTTTTGTTCATTGAAGCACATCAAAGTTTATTTATCAAAACTTAAAATTTCAGTAATTTTCCTAAGCAGTCTTTCTACAAAGCAGCTTATAGCAACTTTGCTGAACACTAGCAAAGAGTAATTTCAAAGAGTAATTAAGAATAAAGGACTGTTTATTATTATTAATATACATCTATGGATTATGATTAAGAAAACCAATGTAGAAGTCAATTTACGCCATTAATAAAATCATCACTCGCTCCCACCGTTGCTGGAGGCGCAGGAAATACGCAAATGCGCCCGCCCGCGTCACCCCGGGCCTTGCCGGGCCCGCCCGCGTCACCCCGGGCCTTGCCGGGCCCGCCCGCGCAGTCGCGGAGCTCCGGGAGCCGCGGCCGCCGCCGGCCGGGGCTGAGGCGCCGCCGCCGCCGCTCCGGCCCCGCTCCGGCCCCATGAGGCGGCCGAGCGGCCATGGGCTCGCTGGGCAGCCGTGTGCTGCGGCGAAGGGCCGGACTCCCGCGGGGCGAGGCGGCGGCCGCGGGCAAGGGCGGCAAGAGGAAGCGCAGCGGGGCCGAAGGAACCGGGGACAGCGACAGCGACGGCGAGGCCGAGCGGGAGGAGCGGCTCCTGCACCTCCGGGGCCGCAGGTCTGAAGGCGGCTGAGGGACGGGGGCCGGGGCCGCTGGGGAAGCTGCGGAGCCGGGCTGAGGGGATGCGGAGCCGGGCTGAGGGGATGCGGGGCCGGGCTGAGGGGATGCGGAGCCCGGCTGAGGGGATGCAGGGCCCGGCTGAGGGGATGCGGGGCCCGGCTGAGGGGATGCGGAGCCCGGCTGAGGGGATGCGGAGCCGGGCTGAGGGGATGCGGAGCCGGGCTGAGGGGATGCAGGGCCCGGCTGAGGGGATGCGGGGCCGGGCTGAGGGGATGCGGGGCCCGGCCGAGGGGATGCGG